AAGGGCCTGTGACACCCGGTTCGAGACGACACGTAGCTGAGCCACAAGGGCCCGACCACTGCACAGACAAAACCAATGGAGCTTGCGGCAAGGCTAGAGGAGCCCCGCTGCCTGGGACCGCCTCGGCAATGGCCTAGGGCCACGGCCCTTGCCTAGGGCCGTCCCGTCACAGCTCTAGCCAGCGGCTCCCCTCGTGGGCCGTTGGCTAGGCCCGTGACTTCTATCTGGTGCACACCGTGTTGTGCACCAGAGGCTTCTTCTTCACTTGTATAGCAACTTCAGACAATTTTCCACTTCCAAAACATCATCAACACATTATACAACATCAACAAGTTACCTAATAGCTCAAACACACAATATGCTAGCATTTCTACACATTTCTAACTACATAGCAGTGACTTCACAGAGTCAAAAAGAGATTGGGAATCCATGGGGTTATACCTTTGTTGTTTCCTCTTCTTTCTCTTGTGTGGTTCCCTATTCTTTCTTTCTCAGATGTTACCCTCCTTCACCACCTATTTCCTCAAACAACATTGGTACATTCTTAAGTTAAAGACAACCTCAGAGATAGAAAATTAAGAGATGAAACCTTAAGGGAAGAGATGAAGGGATGAGATGAAATCTTACTGTGATTTTCCTTTCTCTGTTATTAAACTTGGAGTGGAGGAGGAAATGAAGAAATCAAGAGATGGCAAGGCAAATGTGATGTTTATATAGGGTCCAAAACCCTAGGAAGCTTGCAAATGATTAGAGGGTGGCAAAATGGTAATTTAGCTTAGCTTGCAAAAATATCAGGCAAAGAGATGTGGAGTCTAGTGGTTCACCAAGCTTCATGGACCAAGGTATAGAATCATGGTTTAAAATAGTTTTGGGGTCAAAATGCATTTTTTCAAAAATACTTTCTAGACAACCACTTAGTTTTAGGTTCCTCATGTTTCTCTCGGTTTCACTCAGATTGACTTTTGGATCAAAAACATAGTACGCAATGCATCCGAAAATCTAGGATTTTAGATTTAAATTAAGCCCCGGTGTTGAATTTACTTAAAAGTGATTCAAAATAATTTATTCAAACACCGATTTCATCACAAAAATTTTTATGGAGTGAAAAATGACTATTATGGAATTTCTTAAAACTGAATTTATAGAATAAAATTTTGGGTTGTCACATCAATAATAAACCATGAAGGACTACCTCCTCGAGTTTGAGGTGTTGGCACTAGAATCTAGAAAGTAGTAGTCGGAGGAATGCTCACTCGAGGAGTAGTAGTCGGGGGAACCTTTGCTCACTGCGCACAAGAAACCCCCCTCACTTTGAAAGATTGCTTCCACACTGCCGCTGGTGAAACTCGATCCTTGGTCATTCTTCCAAAGTTTCACTTCTATGACCAGTTGAGCTGCCCATAAATACAACAGATATACCTGACAAAAAATTAAAATGACGAACATTTTTTGAACTTGAATTAATTTCACTTTTGGTCCCACAACTTTTGAGCTCTTATCAGTTTTGGTGTACAATTTTAAAAATTTTCAATTTTGGTGCCTAACTTTGTTATATTTATCAGTTTTGAAAATTCCGTCCAAATTGACGCGTGAAATGTTGTCGGATTTTATCTTTTTAGGGGCAAAATCGTCATCCCAAGAAAAGATATTCAATATCTATACAAAAGAAAAATCATATTGAGAGAAAAAAAAAAGGGTTTTCAATCGTCGACGTTATAAATCTCATAAATCTGTGTCTAGTTTTTGCCCGTCCTCCCTATTATTCTCATTGATAAAAAACACACATAGATATGATTTTACAATGGTTTTATTTAGGTATCAAAGATCTTTTCATTGGGATGATGATTTTACTCCTAAAAATATAAAATCTGACAACATTTCGCCATCATTTTGGTCGAAAGGACCAAAACTGATAAAAATAACAAAGTTAGGCACAAAAATTAAAATTTTTTAATGTTGTACACTAAAATGATAGAACATCAAAAGTCGTGAAACTAAAAGTGAAATTATCTTTTGAACTACATAATTGAAATTGAATTAAAAATTAAAATATTTAGATAATTCAATTATCAATTTATATATATATATATATATATATATATATATATATATATATATATATATATATATTGCAGACTTTCTCAACTACTGATACCCAAAAAGTTGATACCTCGTCACCAGGATGAGTTTTTTGCAGTTTTGGTCCCACGACTATAGTGTCACTAACAACTTTAAGTCACGACTTTTAAAATTTACAGAATTGGTCCACGACTATTACTTTCTTAGCAAAAATAGTCTTTCCGGCGAACTTTTCATGAATTTTTCACCGATTTTTTTTTTTTTTCATTTTTCACAAGGGTATAATAGTCTTTTCATGTATCTAAACTAATGACTATAATAATAATAATAATAATAATAATAATAATAATAATAATAATAATAATAATAATAATAATAATAATAATAATAATAATAATAATAATAATAATAATAATAATAATATAATTAATAATAATAATAATAATAATAATAATAATAATAATAATAATAAAAAACTTAAGCTCAGATTACACACACAGTACACTTTCACCCTCATTCTCACTTAAACTTGAACTTGTCTCCTTCAAGAAAGCAGTTAATCATTATTTTAAAATAGGTAAAGAGTAAATACTCAAAATGGTCCCTCGACTATAGCTAAATTCACAAATTGACCATTGACTTTCAATTTCAACCAATTAAGTCCTTAACTTTGTAATTTTGACACGATTTGGTCCTCCATCTATTTGACTGTTTGTTGACCGTGATCGACGATCTCCGGAAGAACCTTCAACTCTCGTCGGAGCACGTGGAGGCCTCCAGGATGACGTTCCACTAGTTCGGAAACGCGTCGTCTTCTTCACTCTGGTACGAACTCAACTACATTGAATCCAAAGGGAGGATGAAGAAAGGCGACCGGATTTGGTAGATTGCTTTCAGCAGTGGATTCAAATATAACAGTGCGGTCTGGAAATGCACTAGAACCTTAAAAAACCGACGATGGACCATGAAATTACATATATATCCTCAAAAATCACAATCAACAAACGGTCAAATAGACAGGACCAAATTGTGTTAAAATTACAAAGTTAAGGACTTAATTGGTTGAAATTTAAAGTCGATGACCAATTTGTGAATTTAGCTATAGTCGAGGGGCCATTTGGGTATTTACACATAGGTAAAAGATGAAGGCTCTGTTTGGCAAACCTAGCTGAAAAGCTATAAGCTAGGAGCTGAAAGTTGAAAAGGAGCTGAAAGCTGAAAAGCTATAAGCTCGGAGCTGAAAACTGAAGAGCTGTTAAGCTAGCTGTTATGATTGAAAGTGTTTGGTAAAATTAGCTTTTTGATAAGCTGATAAATGTAAAAAGACTAAAAAGGACATCTTCATAAAATTTATATTAGTTGGTTTACATATTAAAATTTAACATTTTGTCTTTAAAACATTTTGAAATAAAACTATTAGCATAATCATGATCTAGCATCTCATAATGAAGTAACAATATTGTTGCAAATCTCATAATAATAATAATAATAATAATAATAATAATAATAATAATAATAATAATAATAATAATAATAATAATAATATTTGCGGTGAAAGTTGCGGATAAAGGAGAAGAGAAAATGCTTTTAATTGGGAAGGGTAAATTATGTCATTTCTTTAAAATAATAAGGATAAAGATGGAAAAAAAAGTTAGGAAGCTAGGAGCTTATTTTGAAACGCTACCTAAGGTAGCGTTTCAAAATAAGCTCTTATTTTAAGCTAGGAGCTAATTTTGGGAACATTACCAAACAGAGTTTATAGCTTATTAGTAGCTTAAAATAAGCTATAAGCTCCTAAATAAGTTCTGCCAAACAGAGCCGAAGAATGAGGATAAAAGTGTACTGTGTGCCTAATCTGAACTTAACCTTATATATTTATTTTTATTATTATTATTATTATTATTATTATTATTATTATTATTATTATTATTATTATTATTATTTAGGTCATTAGTTTAGATAATGAAAAGATCATTATAGTCTTGTGCAAAAAGAGAAAAAAAATTCGATGAAAAATTGACGAAAAGTTCGCCGGAAGGACTATTTTTACTAAGAAAGTAATAGCCGCGGATCAGTTTTGCAAGTTTTAAAAGTCGTGGATCAAAGTTGTTAGTGACACTATAATCGTGGGACTAAAATTGTAAAAAACTCTCACCAGGATTCGATTTTGTAACCTTTTTCAAGAAGAGCTACAGAAGTACTTTTTTTTTTTTTTTTTTTTTTTTTTTTTTTTTGGTGAGAAAGGAGGAGCTAAAAGTTCCAGAAAATTAAGAGATCCTTCTAGTGGCCACAGAATGGCTATCACGAGCAAGGAGGTTGTTTAAGCCATCCGGCGGTTGTGCCCAAACCGTGGTCCCCCAAGTAGTGTTTTGGCCCAGGTTGGTCAAAAAATCTGCACATTGGTTCCCTTCTCGTAGGACATGGATGAGACGGCAAGCTTGGAAGCTCATCATCAGGTTCTTGCAATCAAGAATTAAGGTATCGGCTTCCGGACTAGACCCCGAGCAGTTTAGGATGGCTTGCACTAACGCTTCCGAATCAGATTCTGCCACGATCTTAGTGAAACCTCGGCTCTTGGCAAGGCATAGCCCCTCGCGTATTGCCCAGAGTTCCGCAATAAAGCTATTGGTCGAGCCTATTTTAGTAGAGAACCCCGTGATCCATCTACCACGCCAATCTCGAATGAGCCCACCAGCTCTAGCTAACCCCGTGGAATATTTCCTGGCTTCATCCGTGTTAAGTTTAAGCCAATCTTGCGAAGGAGGTGTCCAGTGAATCCATTTCACACAATATTTGCCAAAATGTATATTTACATCCCTAACCTTTTGAGTTTTGTGGGCATCAAATTTAATTTTGTAAGGTAAGAAGCATGTTATAGTACAGTCCAATACAATACTTACAATGAATCCTGGTCCAGAATACTTTCCCGTTCTTCTGCGATATTCATATGGTAACTTATTACAGTCTCATAGTACATCTCACTCAACAATCAAGATCCAATCTTGAAGGTTACCAAATTTTCTCGTGAAAAAAGACACCACAAACGAAAGATTTCCCATTTCCCCCAGAAATCTTGTTTGCAATGGCAAATGGTTGGAGAAGAAACCAACCCACCAAGATTCTCAGCCCCAAGAATCTTCTCCTCTTCCTCTCCACCTCCCTCTTGCTCCTCGTCTTCTTCTACCTCTCCTCTCAAACCCAAAACCCATATCCAAAAGCCCTCAAATCCCTAAGAAATCCAATCTTCCAGCGCTCTATAAAGCCGTTTGATTGCTATTCTTCACCTCAAGCCCACCCTGTAATCGCCAATGTAGTGGAAGGTCTCAAATACCCATTTCTCTTTTCCCTCTCAGACTTCGGGAATTTACCAGAGAAGCCCCACAAGAATATCAATAGGACTCTCAAGGGGAAGGCCTTTAGGAAGCCTGATATATCTGAGACTGTGCAGGGGTTGTTGGAGAACATGAGGAATGAAGGTAGTAATGGGATTTTTGTGGATGTTGGGGCTAATGTTGGAATGGCCACATTTGCTGCCGCTGTTATGGGGTTTAAAGTTGTGGCATTTGAGCCTGTTTTTGAGAATTTGCAGAAGATCTGTGAAGGGGTTTACTTCAATAGAGTTGGGGAGTTGGTGGAAATCTATGAAGCTGCCGCTTCTGATCAATTAGGGAATATTATACTTCACAAGGTATGCTCCAATGCTCAATGTTCTGTTATGAATGCTATAGAGTTAATACCCTATTTATTCCTATAGTGGTTTTCTCGATTTAATCTTAAACCTTTTTTGTGCTTAATTAAGTCCTCGACTTTGATGATGATTTTACCCAATTGAGTCCTCGACTGTTAGGATCAATGACTAAATCGAATCGAGAAAAACCACTATAGACTATAGTGAAGACTAATTTGGGTAATAGTGGTGAAACTAGTATAATCGAAGACTAATTTGGATAAAACTACTCTAGTCAAGGACTAAATTAGGTATTAACAATGCTGTAATTACCAAGCTATCTTAACGGAGGACTCAATTAGGAAAAACTATCAAAACCTAATTTAGCACAAAAAGTCGTTTAGGACTAAATCAAGAAAAACTCTATAGTCGAGAACTAAATTGGGTATTAACTCGAATGGTATAGTTTTATTGATCTAGGTATGTTGCTTGTGACATAACGTTGTTATTTCTAGTATAGCTTAGTTAAGGAACAAGAATCAGGTTGTAGATAGACTAGTACTGTTTTTATGTGATGTAAATTCAGCCATATGTCTGTGAACTTCAATAAGTTGGTAAACTATTAATGTAAAATCAGAGTAGGGAGTATCTTGGAACATGCTAGGAAAGTTGTGAACTGGAGGCTGCATTATGGAGACTAGACCGGTTAATTATGGAGAACTAATAATGGTTACAACTTTACTGTCAATGAAGGTCACCTTAATAACAGCTAAGCTAAGCTAAGCTTTCCTATATGGCTGCACATTCAAGAAAATGAATCCTTGTGGTAGCAGCGTCATGTCATTTGGTTGTCACTCTACTTATAAAGCATTCCTGTATTGTGTTTTGCTCGTTTAATTTTTATACAGTTATGTGAGGAACTTTTGTAAATCATGTTTTTGTTGGATTTAACACGTCTTACTAGTTTTCTTGAAGATCCCCGATTATTCTCGTGTAAAAATGGAGTTTGCAAGTAAATCATTAGTTTTCCTGCTGTTTTACAGATCCCTAGATACTTTTGTAATTTTAGGTCAAAATTTGTATTCTTGCCAAATTTTCCTAGCACAAGATGCTGTGTGGGATAAATTACACTCGATTTCTTACAGCTTTAGCCCTAAGGTCTGGATTCATTTTTTACTCTGACCTACTCCTTTACCTTAATTTATTGCGACATGATTTAGAACTGTTACGGAGGAGGGTAGGCCGTTGAAGCCACGATAAAGCTGATCCATGTAATTGAAGTCATGGGAAATATATCCTTAGGAAACATTGAAATTTTATGCTGGGGCCTGGAGGTGTTTGGTAAATAGCTGTTAGTTGATTGAGTTATTGGGTTTGACTAGTTGATAACGTTAGCTGATTGTAGAAAGATGTTTCGTAAATTAGTTGTTAGCTGATTGAGCAGCTTTTTTAATTTTAGCGTTTTGGAGCAATAAGCTGTTAAAAAAAGCTAATTAATCAAACATTTATATTGCCTGTTTAACCAAGTCAAACAGCTAGCCAAAATTGGTTGATAAACTAATTATGTTACCAAACAGGGCCGCTGTATAGATGTGTAATCATAAGAGCTGGAATGCAGAAACGACTTTATTTGCTATTCTTTGATTTAGAACTGTACTTGTGGCTTTTATGGTCCTTTTAGCACACTTGAGAGTGCATTTAATTTCATTTTATACATCTCTTCTTTTTGAGTGAAAGGGTGTGGGGGTAGGAGGAGCAGTGTTTTCCCGATATTTCAAAATATTTAATTTATTCAGTTCTCATTGTGCTTTTTAAAATCTCGTATTAACACTAATGGTCGTTACATTACTGATAATTTTTGTCAGTTGGTTGGGCGGCTTGATAATAGTGCAATCTCTGCCACTGGTGCAAAGTTGGCATTTAAGTCTAACGAAGAAATTGCAGTTGAAGTAAAGACGGTTCCTCTGGACGATGTGATTCTAGAGTCAGAGCGGGTACTAGTGCTCAAAATCGATGTTCAGGGATGGGAGTATCATGTTCTAAAGGGGGCCTCAAAATTGCTGTCGAGAAACAAAAGCGAGGCCCCTTACCTAATCTACGAGGAAGACGAGCGTTTGTTGCAAGCTAGCAATAGCAGCACAAAAGAGATTCGAGACTTTCTCCAAACCGTGGGATACCATAATTGCACCAAACACGGGACAGATGCCCACTGCACAAAAAGGGATTGATGAGCCACGAATTTCAGATGGAACCAAACATTCAACCAACATTGTTGACTTGCCTTCAAGATGTGATTACAATGATTTAGAGGAACTTGCAGGTGGTCTGTGTATATGGATTTTGACTCAGAGCTGAAAGAATATCTTTACAACTAACACTGGATACATTGCTTGAGTAACAACTTCTATATGACCCTAAATGGGGGCTCACATTTTAGAATTGCTTTGCAGCTTGATGACCTTTTTTTTTTTTTTTTTTTTTTTTTTTTTTTTTTTTTTTTGTGTCTCACATTAAATATCAAATACTAATGATTCTTTTGTTGAGTGCTTCATATGCATGATAATATCATGCCTCTTTCCTACCCTTTTTTCAATTAACATTGTATACATCTTTGTACATATTAGCTTTAAAGCAAATAACCATTTAAACTCAAACAACCCTCCAACAACTCCAGCTTCTTAGTTCTTCTCATGCCAAAAAGAAATATGTATCAGGAAGGAAGACCATATTTAACAGAGAAACAGAATACTGATTTGTTATACCTGTGTAATGAATCAATTTTCTAATGTCCTGGCAACACAAATAAATTGACAATTACCAGCACAAGATAGAATGACTCAAGTCACAGATTTTCACCTCATCACAACATTAATATTGGCTTTACAGTTTAAGGAAATGCTTTTGTTTCTGATAAACTACAATGAATACTGTGCTATATAACATAAGATAACGATTCTTCCAAGCACCCGATCTCCATAGCCTTGCTGCAATGCTAAGATGGGCATGCCAGTTTTGATTGTGTTCTTGGTAGTCATACTCATACTGTAGGCCTACTTGGGGCTGCTAGTTTTTGAAGACCCACATCTTTCAACCATAACATCATAGAGTTGTTTCCCATTCTATTGTCAATTATTAAAAAAAAAAAAAAAAAGCAATTAATTAGTGAAATTCCAAAACAGACCTACCGAATTGGATTCAATGCACTCAATCTTGACACTTACAAAAATTACAGGGAAAAAGTGCACTTGGCCTTCAGGCTTTGTCTGTGTCTCTTTGAAATAAACTAAAACTGGGAAATTTGGCCACCAAAGCTCCCAATTCACAAATGTCGAATATCTGTTAATGAAGATTAGGTTCATTAAGTCCAGCCACCAGAACTTAACTTAGAACAAAGCTCGGCTTTTACTTACTTCCAGCGGTTCTTTCCACCTACAAAAACGTTTTCACCTGACTCCTCTAGCTGTTCCCCTACTTTAACCTCCTGTAACCATATTTTACAGAAAGTCGTTGAAAAGTGTAATATCAACGATCTAGTTATTTAACTATAATAGGTTAGAAGTTGAGGATCTGACTGCAACTTGATAGGGGACAATATATATGATCTAAAATTGTGCTTAATGAAAATATAATACAGAGCAGTTAACTTCAAACTTTCATTTCTCAATATCAGTGGTCAACTGAAATAAGTAAACCAAAAGCTCCGAGGGAGCAACATGTTTTATAAGTAAAATGCCGATAACTAATGCCAGAAGAATGTCTGTGTGGTTTAAGCCAGCACTTTTAACGAAATTCAAAAATGGTGAAGTCAATGGAAAAATTACTAAGAACAAAACTAAATGATTATTTCTCCACATCAACTGAAAGTTTAAGTTGTTTAGCGAGGGTACATATTCGCTACTCTATATTAATCTTCAACATAGGTGAAAGCATGTTAAAGGCAAATTATACCATGGACCAGGGTCTACTTTGCATTGTGAACCCTGGTCCAAAATAACCTTCAGATTATGTGCCTGCAGTTGACATATTCTGTACCTGCAATTAACCGTTTATGTGCCTATAAATAAATTGAAGGCACATAACATGTTAACACATCAAAAGGTAACTACAGACACATAAACTATTAAATGGACCAAGGTCCACACTGCAAGATGGACCATGGTATAACAATTGCATGTTAAAGGACTAAGGAGACGTACCAGAGCCTCATCATCAAAGACAAATCTCACTCTTGTTGTCTGCAGATGGAAAAACCACACTCATCGATCTTTTGTATTCTCGAATTGACAGTATGATAAAGGAAGCATAGTGTGAACACGGTTGAGCTCCCAAGTAACTAAGTCATAAGGGAATTAAATGGAGATGTAGGATAGCAGTGAGAACCTATATTGTTTTAAAATAATACGAAAACATCTTCTATACTTGCCAAACCTTTAGCTATACAAGATCCAAACATTTTCTATATAGAATATGAGACTTGAGTTACCTGGAATAACAACAGTAATCCAAGAAGACCAATAGGAGCTGCTGCTAGTAAATTATCTGTATAAATTAAAGTACCAGCTGCACCTGCACATATGATAATTCCATGTTAGAAACAAAAATGATTCATGCTGGGGGCATGATTATTTAGAAAGGTGCTATCTTATTTTATTAGAATTACATAGTTTAGTTATTTCAAAAACGGAAAATATGAAACAAATATGATATTACACATGGACTTAAAAACGTGATGTTCATCAATGCAAAAGTGTAAAATGACAGAAGCTTCTCATAATAAATTCAAGCTTTTCTGAACAATATAAATATTCAAGAAGAATAAAAAATGAAACCACAAAAGTGTCAATCCTCTAGAAACTTTAGCTCTGCATACAAATGAACAACAAAAGGCATTCAATGCTAACCTAGAAGCACAACTGGGATACGATAATCTGGGTCAGGAACAATCGTCTCTTTCTTTACTTTCTTTACTTTCCTCCCGAGCTGCCAAAAACACAAACCTTTGGAATTACTACTAAAGATTATGCTATTTTATTTTTCAGAAAATCAACTTCTCTTGGACATGGTCATAAATCATAATAGACTAAACTTAAAAAACCAACACTAAATTGCTTACCAAATAATTCAATTAACCAACAGGAAGAGCAAAAATGAACAAAAAATAGTAAAAATCTAAAAGATGAGAATATGTACCACAGAAGAGACTGTGAGAGGACTTCTTCTGCCAGCATAACTGATACTTCTCTTCACAAGAACACCATTACATACACCTTTACCATAGAATGAGCTCTGCCATTTCCTTAAAACTCCACAAACAACTTTGTCTGCTTAAGATAAGATACTACATAAGTTCCCAGTCAAGAGAGACGGCTAAAAGTTGCAAGCTTTAAAGTATTTTACCATATATATACTCCAAAATTGACACAAAATTTCAGGAAAATGGGATAACAAAAGAAACCAATAAATTCTGTCTTGATTAATTATGTAATCTATGACGAAAATAATAGAAAACTATTGGAATGGAAATACTTACTTTGTAGAGGGAGAATGGTGGAGGCTGATAGAAGAGCACTCTCCATTTTGCAGAGTGAACGAGACTATGAGAGGTTGATCTCTCCCGGCCTGGAATGGTTTATCATCATTAAAATGGAATTGACAGTTTTCGCCTTCTAAATATTCTGTCCATATATATATAAAAATTATCTGGTTCTAAAACAATTTATTTTTTTCTACCAAAAAAAATAATTTTTAATTTAGGGTCTGTTTGAAAATTTGGAAAATATTTTTTTGAAAAATAATTTCTAAAAAAGATTATTGTTTAAATAATTTTATTTTCTAATGTTGGGTTGAAAGTTAATAAATTGTATTTTTTGGGTTCATTTTCCTGAAAATGAACATATTATTTGTTATAATAATAATGATGTTGATAATAATAATAAGTGGTGGCGGTGACAGTGGTGGTGGCGGTGGCAGTTGTGGTGGTGGAGTTAGTGGTGGTGGTGGTGGTGGTGGTGTGGTGGTAGTAGTGGTGGTGGTTGTGGTAGTAGTGGTGGTGGTGATGGCAATTGTGGTAGGTTAATCTCAAATAGATTTTTTGGTTTAAACATTGACATACCGTATATAATATGAATAAGGTTTGTAAAACCATAGATAGTCTTATAATTATTTTTTATACCAAAATGATTTATTTTAAAATCATAAACGGGATAATACTCATAGTAATCAAAATAGTTTTATTTTAAGGGTCTTTATAGGAAAGTAATTGGTTTAAAATATCGGGGTATTACATTTCCCCATTACGTCTTATTTATAAATGGCAAGAGACAAGAGAATTTCAAAAGTTGGAATGGATCACGAGACCGGCGGTGATCTCTAAACACGTGTCTAGCGACTTGTACAAACGGTGATCCATAGTTGCCCGATGAACTTGCACCACACTTATTTCTAACCCAGTGGAAGGGATTGCGGGAGTCCTTTTAGTCAACTTTTTCAGTTCGAACTCTTCCTCGTTGAACCGACGTCAAGGTACGGGCTGGGGGCTACTTGATAGGGAATATTCTCTAAGTATACCTCTTTCTACGTACCATATGTGTTGCTTGGTATTCGGTCAGGCCATTGACATGAACCATTCATAACCCCAGATCTAAAAGCGACAACCGAGCCAACTAAAGATTGCAATATCGACTCGTTGCCTAGGGATCGAGCCTGGCCTGTTCAGGTCGGAACAATCACCCTGAACAAGACCTAGATTTCTGGCCTTCCCTCAACCCCATCCCAATGGCAATTAGGAATCTTGGCACACGTGACATCGTGGCGCTGTTCTCGAGCCCTTCAGCTACATGTGCAACACGTGGTAAGCATGTCGGATGCCCGCCATGTGCTCCCTTTTCTACCACTATAAATACCACATTAAACGCGTTGAAGAGGGACTTTAGCATTGTTACTTACTACATTATAGCTTGGGAGCCTCTGACTCTACGTTCCCAATTGAGCTCAACACTTAAACCAACAAAAAAACTAAAGGAGAACTTGAATACGGTATTTTGAAATTGACAGACACTTCAGGTTGCATGTGCAGTTGTCCTCGCACTTGCACTCATTCTTAGCTGCGACCTCCCCCATCACAAATCCCTCCAAGTCACTGCAAAACACAAACAATTCATTAACCATTGAAATCTTTAACCCCCACAAAAAAAAAAAAAAAAAAAAAAAAAAGTCTTTAAAACTCCAAAGAGATACTTACGTTTTCATGGGCGTAACACCAAGAACTAGGGTCTCAATGATAGCGTCGACCTCAAAATAGCTCATGTTTGGGTACTTCTTGCACCTATAAGAGTGAAGATGATTAACACATTAGTTTTCTTCACAAATTAAAATTAAGATTTCTTACTGGGCGGTGGAAGAAAGGTATGAGAGAGTCACCATCACTATAATTTCACCGTGAACGGGAAGAATAGGGAGGCAGTGCAAAATGAAGAATTATATTATGATCTTTTTAGTCACTAATTAATTGTATTTATAGGTGAAAAATGTAAGAATTATAAATTTGTATGATTTTTCAAAAAGAAAGTGTAATCATTTATTTAAGGTCTTTAAATACTAATCCTAAATGACATTTTTGTCCAATGATCTTGATATTACTAAATTGTTCTTGAGTTTGGGCAGGAAAATTTCACAATCACATCTGTTTATATATATACACACACACACACATATTAACAATTTTTTTCATTTCTTTTGTATAGTGAAAAATTCACAGTTTACCACATATTTTAAGCGGATTTTATACATAAAATTTAAATCCAACCCGACTAATCATTGTTTAATTTTTTAAGACCCATGTTATCCACCACCCACTATCATCTAAAAAAATTTGATCCATGCAGTCGAGACGAATTTGAATAAATATTTTTGAGGTAGATTAAAATTATCATTCCTACTGTCCTTTTAATAAAATTGCAAGAATTTTATTAAAATATATTTATGGTATTCTTTTTTTAAAGGGAACAAATAAAGAGGTGCATTGGGACATTGCGTCACGGATTTATTGGATAATTTAAAAATAAAAATAATATAGTTGACTATAATATATAACTTTTTTGTAAAGTTTCTCAAAACAAAAAACTTTTTTGTAAAGGGGACAAATAAAGAGGTGCATTGGTACCAAGACTATGTGGTCTAATAATATCTGGGTTGGACTTCCATTTGGAAGGTTGTGAGTTCAAGTCTTAGGTTGAGAAAGTATATGAATAGATACTACATATTATTAGTTCTTTGTGTTTCAGTAAATACTACATATTGTAATAGAGTCAGTAGCATTGTACCACTCTCTAGCGATATAAGTGCTGTAAATAGCAATTATGATGTAAATATGACAACTAAAAACATAATGTTTGACTAATTTTAATAAATGTGGGCAAATAGTAATTTTCTATTTACACCGCCTATAGAGCTAGCACACCTATCAAAGGATGGTGTAAATAGCAATTATGGTGGTGCAAATAAAATTACCCATATATATATATATATATATATATATATATATATATATATATATATATATATATATAATTGCACTCTGGTGCGAATGGAGCGCCCAGGTGCGATTATGTGAATGCCTGATATCCGTCCACGTGTCCAGATCTAATGAATGAGAAATACTAATTTAAAAAAAATGCGGTGGTATTTTTGTAAATAATTGAACATCGAAGTGCAAGTAAAATGTATTACAAGTGCATGTAAAATGTATTATAGGTGCAAGTAAAATTTACGTTGAGCATCTATAATAAGCGCACATATAGTTAAAAGTAGTTGCACCTAGGTGCATGAATATTTCGGGGGGTTTTCACGGGTACTACTACCCGCTGAACTTCTCGCAAGAACAAAAACGATGTCAAACAGAACGAACTCAGATCAATGAATGTTAACAAGACAAATTACATGCACTTGCAGGCGAAAAGTAGGTGCACTTGTAGGTGAAAGTAGGTGCACCCAATGAATGCTGACACGTGGCGCGCGCTGATTAGTTCGCATTTCTCTCCTAGACACCTATTCACACCTCAACGTGACCACACACACACACACACACACACACACACACACACACATATATATATATATATATATATATATATATATATATATATATATATATATATATATATATATATATATATATATATATATATATATATATAGGCTTTGGATCTGGTGCACCCCCTCTAATAGATGAGACCATGAGGCCCACTAATAACCATTGATTAAATTCCCATCTATGGTTGAGATTAAAACTAATAAAGTCAGCTATTATCAATGTTAAGGTTATATTAGTAATTGTAAGCCTAATTTATTTAAGGACATAATTTTAATGGAATATGAACCATTTTTTGATGCTTTTGAGGATGGAAATTAAAAGATTCTAATATTAAAATAATTAAGGGACTGAATTAGCGTTAACAATGGTAGATGTGTGAAGGCTTCGCGGTTGATGGCAAGAGCAACAGTTGAGGACTTTCAGCAAATGGATATTAGCATTACGGGTAAGTGCGTATACACCTCTAAGTCTGTGCATTTCCATGTTTTTTTCGAAATGGTTAAGAACTGAACCAGGTTGGGTGGTGGGCGATAGCTGACTATAAAAAAACGCGAGCGTAAAGGGACACATGCCTGTGCGTACGCCGTCCTACCTAATAGGCAAGGCATGAGGTGTCTATGTTTTTGTCTTTTCTTTGGGTTGTTCCGGTAAGTGCATATACACTTTTACGCTTAGGCCGTTGGATAGACCGGTATCGAACACCCCCACACTCGTTAAGTTTTCAGCGTAATACCTAATAGACAAAATAAACTGTGGACATGGCTTTGGTTTTTTTTTTTTTTTTTTTTTTTTTTTTGGTTGTAACAGTTAGTGCATAAACACCTTTATGTCTGTGCATCTTCCTGGTTATTTCGAATCGTTATAAACTGAGCTACTTCGGCAGCGTAAAGGGACACCTGCCTGTGCGTACGCCGTCCTACCTAATAGGGAAGGTAGGAGGTGTCCGTGTTTTTGTCTTTTCTATGGGTTGTTCCGGTAAGTGCATATATACTTGTACGTCTGTGCAAAAGTCAATGTTTTTGTAAAACGTTTGAAAATTTAACGAGGGTGGGGGGTGTTCGATACCCGTCTATCAAACGGCCTAAGCGTAAAGATACATTGGGCAGTCCGTACGGCTTACTACCTAATAGACAAAATAAACTGTGTCCGTGGCTTTGTTTTTTTTTTTTTTTTTTTGGGGGGGTTGTAACAGTCAGTGCATAACTACCTTTGTGTCTGTGCATTTTCCTGTATATTTCAGATGATTATAAACTGAGCGACCTTGGGGGGTGTCCGATAGTCGAAATAATGAACATGTTTGTGCATAATGCATTCATATCTATGATGGTGGTTTTGATTTTATTACGCAGGTTTTTGTATTATCTTACTTTTGAGTGGCAGGTGCAACAACGATGGGTGGCGATGTCGACGAAGACCATTGTTATATGAATATATCCCTGAGTGGGACCATTGTTATATATGCACAGACCGTAACAAGTAACCCAACTAGCGTGATACAGATAAAAAAAGGCTAAAAAAAGTAAAAATAAAGCAACGAAAAACCCCAACGGCATGTTTCAGCTAATAAACACAATCGTATAACCATACTAAATATGCACATTTTGTAATGCAGTCGCACAGCCACTTCTACGCACATGCACATTAATATGCACAAACATAAGAGTAAATGCAAACCAAAGTAACCATTTATCTAACAAATGCATTCAGATTGGAGCTGATACGCACATACCCATTAATATGCACTAACATAACATTGTCTATGCACTTGCTAAAAAATGCAATAAAAATATAGTAACAGGCAACGCGCACAGACACTACCATCTAAACGCATAAACGATGTATTAATCTACAGCATATTTCATCTAATAACACCATGCAACTGATATATACTGCAAGGTACCATAATATGAAAATGCACATGCTATTTAATATGCTACGCACATGCACATTAGTATCCACAAACACTTCATAGGCTTAACGAGATGCCTGATGGAAGCTCTAATGTTCAATTGCGGGAACATATTAACATCAACCTCGTCAGCTTGACTATTCGGCGCATGGTCAGCGGGGGCTTGGGCCGCTTCGATATCTTCGTGTGGTGCCAAAGACGACGCGGGTTGGTGTTCTTCGACAGGGGGATCAGGATGTAAAGGTACAACCAGATCGGCTACACCAACAGGGAGGGGGACACCGTGACCTGCATAAATTGAAAAACAACACCGTTTAACCAACCATAAATAAACAATATAAGTGCAATATAAATATAGATAAATCTGCATTTAACATCCCAATCACACACCATTATACATATCCAAATTAAAACAAATACAAATCTGAAGATGCACTGTGCATATACTATACCCTATAAAAGCACAAACCACGTACACACCTAGAAAGCATAATAATGCAACTACCATAACAAACTTAATAAAACAAAAAGAACACTATAACTGGACTGGACATGCGCATATAATATATCTGGTGCACATAATATATATTTCTAAAAATGCACAAACCTTAAAACGAACGACCAATGAACCCAATGGTATGATAAATGAAAAAGATGTTTAAAACACACTGCAAAACCCTAAATAAACTTTATAAATGCAAAATAAAGATAGATAACATTGCAAACAAAGCATTGTACCTATCCAAATTAAATCAGATCAAAATGTGAGAATGCAACATGCATATACTATATCCTAGAAAAGCACAAACGGCATACACATCAACCAAAAGCATATAGAGACATACTAATTAACGATAAAAAATGCACATACCACCACGTCTAAAATGCATAAAAATGTGCATGGAATGGATGTTAACATGGATACAATGAAAATAATTAAGGCTAACTAGAAATGCACTCGCATAGTCACTACTAAGCACATACCCATTGTGCCACATCCCCTTACTATTCTTTCTTTGAAAAATAAGGGGTATGACACACTGCATTAAACTACAAACAAAGCACTGAAGAATTAATATGCACAAAAATTAAAATTACAAAACCACGATACTAAATCTACACAATCATGTTTGAACATGTATTCCGCAACTACATGATCCTCTATATGCACATACTAATCATAACGCATATACTATATACATACAATGCATGATGTTAATAGCATATATCTGCCCTATGAAAAGAATCAAAAGAAGTTAACAGATTTAAAATGATAAAAGCCATATTAAGTATAGATATAAACACCTGCGAGCTTCCAAATTCCTAGCAATTTTACGTGCTTTTCCACCATCAGCAACATATGGAATTACAACGCTATGTTTCATTTTTCATGTTAAACCATTCACTCAAATCACATCCATATTATAAACTAACTACATCTAGAATTTATAAAAATTAACAGAGAGCACCATTAACAGACATTGCAGCTGGATAAAAAAAATGAATGGCCGGCGGATAACACTTTTATGCCGGAAAATCAACACCATCACACACATGCAACCCCAAAACCTAACCCGTACCTACCCAGTCCCCGCCTCCCAGAGTCCCCAAAAAAAAAGAAAAAAAAAAAAAACGTAACTACCCAGTCCCCTCTCCCAGTCCCCGCCTCCCAGAGACCCGAAAAAAGAAAGAAAAAAAAAGGATTCCATGGACGCTGGATAACATGATTCCGTCGGAAATTCACCATCATCAAACACATGCAACACACCCCTAACATCCCCATTAGAATAGCTTGACTACAGAACCACAAAACCCCCAAAAATCCCCCATTGTTAGACTAACATATGATTACTCAAAAAAAAAAAAAAAAAAACCTAAATAATAACACAAACCCTAAATTGTAACTTGTATGTTCCCCCTCCCAGCCCGACTCCCCAGTTCCCCCTCCCATCCGGCCTCCCAGAACCGGCGGTCTGAACACCAAACTACCACAGAAAGCACACACAAAACCCACCGAAACGGAGGCACACACAAAACCCTCCGAAACGGAAAAAAACAGTAGCAAAAAAAGGGGGATTGAGATTACCTTCAATAGGGACGCCGTTTGACCTCCGTTGCCTCTTCGATCGGCGGACAGTAGACCCAACCATGTTGAACGCCGTGGTTGTGATGGAGAGGGAGACAGTGATGGATAGCGAGAGTTATGATGGAGATGGAGAAGGTGATGGAGAGCGAGAGTTCTGATGGAGAGGGAGAGTTGTGATGGAGAGACGCAGAAGATGAAGTGGGTAAGGAAAGAAGGTAAGAAAAGGTGGGAAGGGTCAGAAGATACGCATATTACCGAGGCAAAATTAAATACACCTTATAATTACAGTAATTGCGAAATTACACAATACTCCCTAATGTCCTCTTAAGTCTTGATGCACGTGGCAAAAAGGCCCAAATCATCTAAACCAATTAAGGGTCAGAAAAGGTGCTCACGAGCTCACCTGCCAAGGGGGTGTGCACCGGATCCAAAATCTATATATATATATATATATATATATATATATATATATATATATAATCAAACAGAAATATAAAATGATGTAGTCAGCTATAAGTGAAGTTATACAACTCTTGTATACTCCTTCACTTTTATTTTTTATGTGAAAAATTATGACAAGTAATTTTATTTTGGTCTTAGATTTATAAGTGATAATTCACTTTTAATTTTTCTTTTTCAAGACATCTCCTTTAGTTTTAGTATTATTATGACAGAACTATTTTCAAGGACAGAGCCAAATCACCCCTGCCCCCCTTCACCCCATCCCCACCTCATATATAACCTTTGTGTGTATATATGTATATATAGTACAAGTTTTAGTATTAGTATAAAAAACAGATAAATGTTAATAAGAAGTGAGTTAGATTAGTTGGCAAAACATGTGTTTGGTTATAATGAAGGTGGGTTCAAATTTGGCTTCAACACAATCACGTTTTTAATAGTTTTTTTTTTTAATATTTAATACACACACATAACATTCTTTTATATTAATAATGAGATGTGTAATTTATAATGTGTTTTTTATTCAAATTATTTTATCAAATTAATTATGTTTCATATTTTGTTATGAATATTTTTATAAAGTTCTGATGAGTTTTATTTTTTGCTCATATCCAACAATATTTATACCTATATTTTTTAGATATTTAATTATGTTTCATATTTTGTTATGAATATTTTTATAAAGTTTCGATGAGTTTTATTTTTTGCTCATATCCAACAATATTTATACTTATATTTCTTAGATATTTTTTTTTCAAATTATCTCTTTTGTTTTAACGTTTCACCTTCACTGGAAAAAATTTCTAGATCGGTCCCTGCTTCTTAGGCCCCCCTCAACGGAATTCCTGGCTCCGTACGTGACTATTTTTAGTTATTTGTCAACAAAATTGTTGAAATATCGTTAAATATAAAGACATTGTAAAAATTTTTTAATATAATGTTGGTTGATCCGCTATATTTTTATTTTATTTAAAAAAAATAATTGAAGGCCTAAATGCCATTGTATTTTATAGAATTTAAACAATTTTGTTAAGCTTCAAAAAAAAAAAAAAACAATTTTGTTAGAGAATAAAAAATGATCATGCTACAATAATATTAGGATGAATTGGAAATTTTTGAAAAGAAGTAATAAAAATGAATTGTGCCTATAAATCTAAAAAAAAATGGAGCAACCTCTCAAAGTGAGGAGAACTCCTTGTCTATAGTAAGTAAATGTTTATTCTCTGTGATTCACTGAATTATCATGATTTATATTTTTTCGTGTATCTATCTAGGTGAGATCGGAGATTTAAGTTTTTGGAAAGAATAAAAAAAATAGAATTAACTCGAAAAACAATGACAAGTTTTTTTTCATTTGTGAGTTTCAAGAAAAATGACTAAATTTCTGAGTGAGAGTAAAAATTGATACTCCGTAGTAGAATTTGGAAGTTGAAGAGTATTTTCCCTTTGAATATTTTGCACAACTAACGAACATTATTCAGTCTGTTGTCTTTGCGTTGATTCTCCCCGTACAACGGTACAAACACAGTCTCTCTCTCTCCCTCTCTCCCTCTCTCTCTCTCTCTCTCTCTCTCTCTCTCTCTCTCTTTGTTGGTTTTATATGCAGTCCAGACTCCAGACATTTGATTGATTCTTCAGTTCTCACTTCCTACTTCCTTCTCACCCAGGTAAAATACTTGTGATCAAACTTAATTTCTGCAAATGATTTGATTCATGCTATTGTGTTTGCTAGTTCATGTTTTGCTTTCCTGCTTCCCTTTTGGGGGTGATCATGATAGAAACTTTTCTTATCGTTTCGCTCATCCGAGTTTCAATTGATAATGCAGCTTTACTTTTGATACGAATATTGCGCAGATTTTGCAAAGCTGAAATCTTGAGTGCAAGTAAGCATACTCCTCTGCAACCCACCTCGCTTGTCGCCGTCGTCGCCCACAGTAGCGCCGCCGTTGCCCCTTCTCCTCTCCTGAAGCTATTGCTAGGGCAAGTGCGTATAGTTATCTGTTTACATGATTTGTGAGCCTCAAGTGTTTATCCTTTTTTTCATTTATAGCTTGTATGGTAGATTAATAGTTGGTTATGAATTACAGATAAGAAATGGAAAGGCCAGAAGGTACCTGAGCAGTATGCGTAGTAGAAAAAGCCAATAACTTCAATTTTTAAAATTAAATCATTAGGCATGCATTCGAAAAACTAACTTGTATACAATACTTGTTATAGAGAAAGGGAGTAGCATATAAGTACTGCTACTTAATAGTCATATGCTCCGACAATGTCTCGGTCACTTGTGATTGCAAGCACTACACCCTTTCCACACAATGTTGTAACTCATTCCAGACAATATTTGATTTGGAGCACTTCTTGCTTTTCGTTTTCAGGTTAGTTTCTACTTTATTTTCCCCCTTACAAAGTTAAAATTTGGCTCTCTCATGCTTCATACCAAATACAACTGGTGGATAGATACTCAATGTTTTGTTTGTCTATGCTTTTTTATGTAAAAGGAAAAAGCCTGCCTTCATTCAGAATGAGCAACAAATTAAATGCTCCTCACCACGTCTGTCAAACTATCTCTTCTTATGGTTAGTTATTCCATTTTCCATGTACATTCAACTGTTCAAGTATTCTATTCTTTCTCGGTAATTACTTCTAGGAGAAGTAATTATATACTCCGTATTATGTATACTTGCCTTATATTCTGAAATCTGAATAATGATTAATGTTGAAAACTGTATGCAAAAAACCTACTTTGCTTGAATGAATCATTGTTGAGAGCTTTTATTGTTTAAGCAGCTAGTTTGGGCACTTTTGATGGAAGAGACAGATCAACTAATTTGACTTTATCGGTAAGATTTTCTGTAATGTGCTCTCTCCTCTTACTTTCACTCATCTGATTTCCAAAAATTAGCCTCTTAGTAATATAAAACTATATGCAGTGTTTTCAAGTAGCTGAAGAAAAGATTAGGAAATTGTTTGACATTGTTGAACTTTCTGTTTCTCCATACGACACTGCATGGGTAGCTATGGTCCCTTCTCCACATTCCCCTGGAATGCCCTGTTTCCCTGAGTGTGTGGATTGGGTGCTAAATAATCAGAATCAAGATGGATCGTGGGGTCTTCATCACACTCATCCCATGTTTCTTAAAGAAGCTCTCTTATCAACTCTGGCATGTGTTCTTGCGCTGAAAAGATGGGATGTTGGTGAAGAACAAATCAATAAAGGTAATAACTTGCATTCTGCTTGGTGAGCTCTATTTCTTTCTGTTAATTGTGTGATGCATCACATCTTGCAGGTTTACTTTTCATTGAGTTAAATTTTACATCTGCTGCTGATAATGGCCAACTTTGCCCCACTGGATTTGATATCATATTTCCCGGAATGCTCAACTATCTTAATGATTCATCTTTGAAGCTCAACTTAGAACCAAGAACTCTAAATGAACTACATCATAAGAGGGATGTGGAACTCAGCAGGTATATTAATTAATAATCAACAAAGCCTATTTCCAAGGACACAGTTTTCAGTTGAATAAGGTCTTATCTGATTATGTGCACTGTGCACATGATCTAGTTTTGTAGTTAGGTGGACCAATCCAAGTTAAACTAATTATTGCATAATAAAGAAGCTAAAGCATGCAAACAAATCTTACACATGTCACGCATATGTAGATTCTCTTAAAAAGTCATATGTGCTTTGAAGAAACAAAAGTGGTAGTTTATCAACAAGCAGCATGAATAGATTAAGCAATCAACCGGCACTGTGCACATGATCTAGTTTTGTAGTTAGGTGGACCAATCCAAGTTAAACTAATTATTGCATAATAAAGAAGCTAAAGCATGCAAACAATCTTACACATGTCACACATATGTAGATTCTCTTAAAAAGTCATATGTGCTTTGAAGAAACAAAAGTGGTAGTTTATCAACAAGCAGCATGAATAGATTAAGCAATCAACCGGCATGATTCCAAAGAGGCCTCTAGGATAATAAACACCAACACTTTTCATTCATAATTTCTTTCTTGATTTAGGTGCATGGGAAGCACCTCAAAGGAGCTTGAGGCTTACCTTGCTTATGTATCGGAAGGATTAGGACCTCCGCAAGACTGGGAAATGGCTATGAAGTATCAAAGGAAGAATGGCTCCTTGTTCAATTCACCTTCTACTACAGCTGCTGCTTTTATTCATCACCATGATCCTGGTTGTCTTAGTTACCTACATTCTGTATTGAAGATGTTTGGGAACAAAGGTACATCTACCATCTTTGGCATGTCTGTATTTCCATTCTTACATTGCAGCACATTAGTATAATTTTCTGCCTTGATCTTTCAGTTCCAACAGTCTACCCTCTTGATGTGTATGCACGACTTTGTGTCGTTGATAATGTTGAGAAATTGGGGATTAGTCGCCATTTCAATAAGGGAATAAGAAATGTTTTGGATGAAACATACAGGTAGCTTTCTCAAACCTCAATCATTAATTACTACAATCTTGCTATATGGAACATATTTTATGTTAGACCAGCTTCTAGATTCTATGTTGAGCTTTTTCTTGGCCATTACTTTCTTTAAGCTCTTATTGTTACAAACTATGACATTAGTTCCCCCCACTTCCCCCTATTCAAAAAAAAAAAAAAAAGACGGTGGTTGCAGGGGGATGAAGAGATCTTTATGGATGCCTCAACTTGTGCTATGGCATTCAGAATATTGCGAACAAATGGCTACAGCATCCCTTCAGGTACTCATCCATTTGTGACAATAGCAGGTTTCTCTTTTTTTCTCGTAGAATATATCTAGATGGTATGAAAAGTTTGATAGATTAGTTCTGTAGTGTAGGTCCTGTATCTCATTTTCTGGATGAGAGTATCAACAGTATTGCTTGTGGACGTCCAAAGGATGCATATGCTATACTGGATCTCTATCAAGCACTAGAAATAATATGTAATTCAGATGAATATGTTTCTGAGAAACATAACAGGTGGTATGAGAATTTGAGACAGGAACTTTCCAGTGATTCACTTTTTTCAGATATCCATACTAGACAGATCCATAAACAGGTATTTTCTGTAATTCCTGAGTCCCAAAGCATCTTCAAGAGTTAATTATCGTGTCGTCCCTTTAAGTTGATTTGAGTTAAAAAAGGGGGTAATGAGCTACTTTGTCATTTCTAGGTGGAGGATGCCCTTAATTTTCCTTTCTATGCAAATTTAGACCGAATTGCCAACCGGAGATATATAGAGCATTACAATGTGGAGAATACAAGATTTTCCAAAACTTCATATTGGTAGATCTCTTTACTTCCATACAAAGTATGTATTGTTTCTTGAATATGGTTGGTAGATCACTGACTAAATTGCCTCTATTTCCTTTCACGTTGCCCACAGTTCATCAAACTTTAGCAATAAAGATTTCCTAACTCTTGCCGCAGAGGATTTCAACCTTTGTCAATCTATACATCGTGAGGAACTAAAACAGATTGAAAGGTGAGTATATGAGGTGCTTCTTGGACCTATTCTTTTGTAGGCAATTCATTAGAGTGAGATCAATTGAAAGTATGTCCAAGCAATTTTAAAGAACTTAAGCATTGTCAAATTTAGGCCTTCCTACTCCTATCTTTTTCTCTACCAATTTATTTTTGCTTCGTGTTATAATTCATTCCTTCCCCTCGATCATGCTGTAACTCTTTAGAATGTGTAAGGATGGTGTTTTTACTATGACAACAGGTGGGTAGTAAAAAACAGATTGGATACGCTGAAGTTTGCTAGACAAAAGTCTGCGTACTGTTACTTTTCAGCTGCAGCAACGCTTTTTCCTCCAGAACTATCTGATGCCCGTATTTCATGGGCCCAAAACGGTGTATTGACTACTGTGGTAGATGACTTCTTTGATGTTGGGGGTTCTATGGAGGAATTAAAGAACCTCATTCAGTTGGTTGAAAAGTAAGTATTCCCTTTTAGCTGATCTTTGGTTTGTCATTCAATCTTTCTGTGGCTTTGATAAAATTCTGGGTGAGGGGGGAAACTTGACCTGTAACCACTACCCGAGGGTGTGCTTGAGGGAAACCACGCCTTATGACCCTAGCCGGCAAAAAGGACCACAAGGAGGTAAACCAACCTAGGTTGTCCATAGCTAACTAGCTCAAACCAAGAAGGCCAATAAGCTGCTCCTGTTGGGAGTCAACCTTGTAACCTTGTGGTTATCAAGGCCAATAGGCTTTGATAAAAATTCTAATTCTATGAAATATTGTGTCATGCAGGTGGAATGTAAATGTGAGCACCGACTGCTGTTCAGAAGAAGTCCAGATCATATTTTCTGCACTTCACAGCACAATTTCTGAGATTGGAGAGAAAGCATTTAGATGGCAAGAACGGGATGTGATGAGCCACATAATTGAGATAGTGAGATACAATTAATCCATATTACTTACCAAAATTTGTGTTTATTTTTGCATTCATGTTACTGCTAACTTATCTGCAACATTATTCTAAAAAATAATTTATTTGTTTTTATCTCTTGGATATATATACCACATGAAGGTGATTTCGAGCTGCATAAACTATCTATCAACTATTCAAGTTCCTCCTTTGAGGCTATGACATCTTTGGTAAACCAAAAAGATAAATTATTGTGATTTGCAGTGGCTGAATTTGCTGAACTCCATGTTAAGAGAAGCTGAATGGACAAAAGACATGACAGTGCCAACATTGGATGACTACATGGAAAACGGTTATGTCTCGTTTGCCTTGGGACCTATCGTCCTACCAGCCCTTTATTTGGTCGGGCCAAAGCTCTCAGAGGAGATCGTCCAGCACCCTGAATACCACCATTTATTCAAGTTAATGAGCAGTTGCGGCCGTCTTCTAAACGACTTCCGTGGTTTTGAGGTAGATACATCCATGCAACACCATGTACTCCTACAATTTCATGTTTCGAGTAAGTTGTCAATGTGGTTTAATTTGCAGAGGGAGTCGAAGGAAGGTAAACTGAACGCACTTTCATTGCGGGTTGGTCATGGGAATGGCAGTGTGAGTGAAGAAGCAGCCATTGGAGAAATGATCCATTTGATTGATGCCAAAAGGAGAGAGCTGCTGAGACTGGTGCTCCAGGATAGTGTGGTTCCAAGAGATTGCAAAGATGTGTTCTGGAAAATGTGCAAAGTGGTGCACCAATTCTATGTCAAAGATGATGGCTTCACTTCACAAGGGTTGATTGGAACTGTGAAGGCAATTCTCCATGATCCCATCTGATATAAATGAACTGTGGGTGGGATACAAGTGTGCTTAGCTTGTTCTGTTAAATAACTGTCACCTCCCCGTTTTCTGCTGGTACAATCGGTATGTTTGGTTCAAAAATGAGAATCAAATAGTTGGTAATTGGAATGAGTTTTGGTACCAGGGTGAAATTGAAATGATTACCAATATTGATTTTTTTTTTTTTTTTTTTTTTTTTTTTTTACCTATAATTGGAATAAAGGTTTTAAAATATAAAAATAAAAAATCAAGGCAATTGAGAGTGACAATGAAGTGAGAAGGAGAGATTAGTGGGGAGGCGATGAAATAAGGTGGTGAAGAAATGAGGAGGAATGAGGCTGAATTAATTGAATGATACTTTTTAAATTAGGAATGAGTTTTTGTAATTAGGTAATCAAATCCACTTGTGTTTTAAAACATTGTTTACCAAACAATATGTATGATTTTCATTCACATTCCTTCTTGTTTGGAGTGGAGAGTTTTACGAATTGAAGGAGCTGCTTTTGTAAATGTTCTAAACCTGAACTCCTTGCCTTTGAACATTTTGATCTAACATCAAGAAAACAACTACCTTCAAATGTTCTATAAATTTAGTTAAATACAAGTTTTGCTAAGGTTATTTTTCTAACTCCGCTCATGCCATAAATCTCAATCATGCAAATATCATTGTTTATTTCACTTTGTAATATAGATAATTTCTCTAACACGAACATTAACTCTCCAACGGGATATTTTGCAACATTCAAGTATGTATGGTTCACTACTTTCAGAACCTCTTGCACAATTTTATCAATAATATTTGATTGATACCTGTAAGTTTTTTGTTGAGTAAATTGTTCATTCATTAGAGGGAAAATAAAGGATAGAAAAAACAAGAAAAGACTAACATTAAAAAGTATTCAATAAATTTATTTATTTATTATAAAAGGGAAATTTCAAGTTACCGATTAAGATCATTCTGCAAATCCCGACCAGAAAAGTTTACAACCTTATATTAGTTAGAGCAGCCCACTGGCTAACTTTTTCTACCCCAAATTGTTGTTGATGTAGAGTCAATGCTTCACAAAATTTGCCAGTTTGTTTGCAGACCTCAGAGGGATCCACATCATAGAACATAGAAAATATTACCTGATTTACCTTCTCTTTACATTCCACTATCTCCACAACTTCTTCAAGACACCACCGAGAAGAAGTGTAAGTTTTGGAGAACATGATGATGAAAATCCTCGATCCATAAATAGCTTTAGTGAGGTCAATGGAGATGTCCTCACCATAATAGAATTGTAATTCATTTCTTACGAAACTTCATTATTACATACTACTTAATCGAATTGTAATTCGTTTCTTACTAAACTTCATTATTACTAATACTATTCTTCTCAAAAAAAAAATTATTACTACTATTATTTCCAATACACAATGCGCAAAAAATAGGTGCTCGATATTAATACTTTATATTAAAATCTTAAATTTATTTAGATTTTAGATATTTATATTATTGTAAATAATAATAATAATAATAATAATAATAATAATAATAATAATAATCTCTATCTCTACATACATACATACATACATACATACATACTGGTAGGGAATATCCCGACCGACATAATTTTACCCCGGTTGGTGTGCCTTTGTCTTTGTCTTCTTGTCTTTGCAGGTAATAGGTCGGGCTTCTTGTGAAGAACCCGGTCGGGGTCCGACCGGGAGTTGCCCGAGCGGCACTGTCGACCACCGAGCGGTAGCCCTTTAGCGAGAGAGCTGACGAGGGACACGTGGCGGCTCCACGCGTTGATAGGCAGGGCACCCGGGACGGCGACACGTGGTGGCTACGTGGGAAGCATGCCGAACGGCCGGATTTGTGTCTCCGACCGCTACAGTGTGGGGGACTTTTGGACGATCGATAGGTTGTTGTTAGAGAGTCCCGACCGCAGTCAGTCGGTACTCAGAGCAACCAAGTAGATTGTACTTAGGGCCTTCACCGTGATCAATAAAAGACATTTACTTGCTTTAGTTGGTCTCGTATTTACTTAATTACTGCGTATGTGGCAATTAACAGTATCACATACATACATACATACATACATATATATATATATATATATATATATATATATATATATATATATATATATATATATATATATTATTTATTATTATTATTAAAGCAAAATGATGGCCAAAAATTTTTTCCCGCGATAGCTACAGTGTGGGGGACTTTTGGACGATCGATAGGTTGTTGTTAGAGAGTCCCGACCGCAGTCAGTCGGTACTCAGAGCAACCAAGTAGATTGTACTTAGGGCCTTCACCGTGATCAATAAAAGACATTTACTTGCTTTAGTTGGTCTCGTATTTACTTAATTACTGCATACGTGGAAATTAACAGTATCACATACATACATATATATATATATATATATATATATATATATATATATATATATATATATATATATATATATTATTTATTATTATTATTAAAGCAAAATGATGGCCAAAAATTTTTTCCTTTCAAAGTGTGAAAACATTTATTGCATTGACATTGAATTGCAATTCAATTAAATGACAAACTACATTGTTTGGTTGGAGGGAATTGCAATTTCCTCAATTTATTGAATTGCAATTCTTAGGTCCCCTTACGAATTGCAATTCAATGAATTCATCCGTACAATGAAAAGAGAAAAAGAAGGAAATGACATATTTGTCCTTGAATGTTATTATTAACATTATTATTATACAAGGGTATTTTAGTCTTTATATCACTTCTCCCATTTTCATTATTCTTTCCTACCAAACAATGTAATTGTAATTCATACTTTATTCTCACCTTATTCTTTTCCCACCGAATTGTAATTCCTTTCCCGCTTAATTCCTTCCTTCCAACCAAACGTCCAGTTATTGTGTGTGTGTGTGTGTGTGTGTGTGTGTGTGTGTGTGTGTGTGTGTGTGTGTGTGTGTGTGTGTGTGTGTGTGTGTGTGTGTGTGTATATATATATATATATATATATATATATATATATATATAGGGAAGGGTTCATGTGCGGATATAGCTTCCCGTGCGGTTAGATCTGAGCCGTTGATCAAATCTAAATCAACGGCTCAAATCAATGAAAAAAAACGCGTGTTTGGAAGAAAGCCACGCACCTTAACTGTTAGATCCTAAGCACAAACTCACGCACATTAAGTACAAAACCCACACACATTAAATATTAATTCACAGACTTTAAGTTTCAACAACTCTGACATTAAGCACAAACTCACACACATTAAGTATAAAACTCACGCACATTAAGCACAACCTCACGCACATTAAGCACAAAACCCACGCACTTTAAGTATTAACTCACAGACTTTAAATTTTAACAACTACTCACGTTAAGCACAACCCCACGCACATTAAGCACAAACCTCACGCACCTTACGCACAAAACTCACGCATCTTATATACAAAACTCACGCACATTAATCACAGATCCGCTCACCTTAATTTTGACCTAGATGCAAAAATTACAAAATTGCCACCGCGTCTTTTTTTTTTTTTTTAAATTTTGGTAATCCTGGACGTTGATTTAAGCAAGATGAATGGCACAGATTAAACCGCACAACCGCACCTGAACCTAATTCTATATATATATATATATATATATATATATATATATATATATATATATATATATATATATATATATGGTTGAGTTCACATGAGGACACTCATATATATAGGACTATGAGGACAAATCATATCCATCCAAACCAAGAGATTTAATGGATGAGGTCTTGTCCATATTTTCGTTGTATTCACGGCTAAAAATATTAAGAGAGGACAAAGGAGACATTTGAGAGCATTTATAATTATGGAAGGATTATAATGAACCAACATAGCATTGGAAAAGGAGTTAATTTGTGGTTGAGAATACAACCCAAACAAGGAACGTCATTGTAGAAGCCGTGCGTACACTAGAGGTGAGGGGGCTGAGAATCTTCTGTGAACATTAATGGAGGAAGCCGCACCCAGTGGTACTGAACCCGCAATGAACGACGATAACGAGATAATTTTGGAGCCCACAATTGACGAGGAATTCGTGAAAGACTTTGCCAACGCCATGGTCAACGGTAAGCTTCTAAACTCTGCGAATGCAAAATTTTACGTGAGAGGAATTCTACGATGCGTGAGTGGGGGGATGTAGGGCAATGGGTTAGGGGATTGTGAGCAAAGCTTGTTATACTTGTGTGCCATGATTTGGTATTTCGTGTACACGGGGATAGTAAGTAGTGTGTCATGCACACAGTGTTGGTTGTAATTGATAAACGATATATATAAATGGTGTCAAGCAGTAAAACAACCAGGAACAAAAAGAACATAGGTTCGGCTGTGAGGGTGGAATCACTAATTCATATTTTCTGGACTGATAATTTTTTATTGATACATATATCCTGACATCTCGTGCCATGTTTAGAAAAATCGTGTGAATGTTAATACAATGTCGAGTGCACGAGTGCGTAAACAGCTGGCAACACCACTCTGCACACATTGGCTGCCATAATTGGTTAAAGTGTTATGTTTGGGGAAGGTATCAGTAGTAATACCAATTTACAAAAAAAAAAAAAAAAAAAAAAAAAAAAAAAAGACTTGCCAATGTACATGTTGGAAAAAATAGCTTAAAATGGCATATTAAGTGGCTATTTTGTGGTACAATTATCAGTGGGGTCCACTTCCGATTTGGGTCGGGTCAGAGTGGACTCGGGTTCTTCGTAGTGAGACGAAGAGATTGATATATTGTACGCTCAAAACGGATAATGGGTGAATGAGATATTGATTCTCAAAGTAGACCTATTTGAGTTGGAAAATGAAGGGAAAAAGTGAGCTTTTGTCCCACATTGGTTTGGGAAGAGGATTTTTCCCACTATTTATACATGAGCTATTTTTAAGCTTATTGAGTTGTATAGCATAGAGGCTCTCTCTCGCGCGCAGGGGTGGGGGGTGTAAATCAAATCTCAGAATGAGATCGAAAAGGCTTGGACAAGCCTAATCTTGTGTGCACACGAGGGCACGAATGTCGTCCGAAAATTGGCAGGCCTAGCGGGCTAAGTTATGCCATATTCAGGCAGCCACGAAAACTGGTGAAATTGTTTCA